CTATTCTTACTTCCTTCTTTCTCTTATTTTTCTCCCTCTTTTCTGTCTTCTCTCTTCTCTCTCTTATTTTTCTCCCTCTTTTCTGTCTTCTGTCTTCTCTCTCCCTCTTCTCTCTCTCTTCTCTCTCTCTTTTCTTTCTCTCTCTCTTCTCTATCTCTCTTCTCTCTCTCTCCTTTCTCTCCTCTCTCTCCTTTCTCTCCTTTCTCTCTCCTCTCTCTCTACTCTCTCTCTACTCTCTCTCTTTTCTCTCTCTCTTCTCTCTCTCTTCTCTTTCTCTTCTCTCTCTCCTATCTCTCTCCTTTCTCTCTCTCTCTCTCTCTCTCTCTCTCTCTCTCTCTCTCTCTCTCTCTCTCTTCTCTCTCTCTCTCTCTCTCTCTCTCTCTCTCTCTCTCTCTCTCTCTCTCTCTCTCTCTCTCTCTCTTCTCTCTCCTCTCTCTCTCTCTCTCTCTCTCTCTCTCTCTCTCTCTCTCTCTCTCTCTCTCTCTCTCTCTCTCTTTCTTTCTCTTTCTCTTTCTCTTCTCTCTCTCTCTCTCTTTCTCTCTCTCTCTCTCTCTCTCTCTCTCTCTCTCTCTCTCTCTCTTCTTCTTCTTCTTCTTCTTCTTCTTCTTCTTCTTCTCTTCTCTCTTATCTTCTTTCTTCTCTCTTCTCTTCTCTTCTCTTCTCTTCTCTTCTCTTCTCTTCTCTCTCTCTCTCTCTCTTTCTTCTCTTCTCTTCTCTGCTAACGGATAATAATGATACTTGGTTGATCCAGTATAGTAACGCACATTTCAAGAACAGAATAATAATGCTTATGATGAAATGTACTAGCACCATTATTACTACATAATACTTATAATTATTGTTATTATTATTATTATTATTATTATTATTATTATTATTATTATTATTATTATTATTATTATTGCTGTTGTTGTTGTTGTTGTTGTTGTAGATTCCATATGGCCAGCGCGATTATCATTGTTATCATTACATAGTGTGATATCATTATTATCATCACTATTTGTTGGACTTTTGTCGTTATTATTATTAAGCCGTTTTTTCTTCTTCTTTTTTGGCGGAGTATTGGGATTGTGATCTAATATCTCTTAATGTTAATGAATTTCTAATCCAAATTCTATTTTATTACACATATCTTCATCAATAGTAGTAGTGGTAATAATAGTAATAGTAGTAGTAGTAGTAGTAGTAGTAGTAGTAGTAGTAGTAGTAGTAGTAGTAGTAGTAGTAGTAGTAGTAGTAGTAGTCGGAGTAGAAGTAGGAGTAGTAGCAGTAGTTGCAGTAGCAGCAGTTGGAGTAGCAGTAGTAGTAATAGTACTAATATTAGAATTAGATTTAGTAGAAGTAGTAATAGCAGTAATAATAATAGTAGTAGTAGTAATAGAAATAGTCGTAATATAATTAGGTGTAATAGTAATAGTAGTAGTAATAACGGTAATAGTAGTAGTAATAATAATAGTTGCAATAGCAGTAGCAGTAGTATTTGCAATAGTATTAGTATTAGTAGTAATAGTAGATACAGTCGTAGTAGTATGAGGGCCATAGCTATCGTCAATTTCCCATCGTTCATTTCCATCTCAGCATCGTCCACATAATCATATTAAAAGTTTGAAAAGCTTATTATAATAACACATCATTGTTGTTTTTACTTTTACTGGTGTTATCAAAATGAGTAATAGTAACATCATTACGATCGTAATGTTATCTAATAATGGTAAAAACTGCTGCTATTTTTACATTCCTACATCTAATACTACTGCAAGTAATATCACAGTTTCTACCATCACATTCTCATGAGGTGCATGTGCATTTGCCAGCGCCGTTTTGAAGTGCTCTAAGAAATAAAGGGTTCCTCAGCCGCCATCTGCCCACGCAATTTTCTCTCCGGCAGCGAGGTAGTCCTAAACTCCTTTCCCGCGGCCGAAACCACATTGGCCTCTCCGCTGAACTCTGACATTTCGCCCCGTAAACCCTTGACCTTTGTGCGCCTTCAAATCAAAGATTATATCCGAAAGATGGGAAAGGTTTTTTGTGTGTCACTGATAGATGGCGTTATCGTTTGGTTTATTTAAGGTGCCGATAGATGGCGTTGTTGTTTTGTTGCTTCTTTCTGAATGGAAATACTATTGCAATGATAGACTGTGTTTCTTCTTTATTGTAATGTTCTGTATATTTGTTGGTTGATATCTGTAAGAAAACAGAAAATATCCTCAAGTGGTTGTAAAGCAGCGGTCACTGACCTCTGACAGCGGGTCACTTTTCTCAGGGAGGGAAGGAGGGAGGGTAACGGCTGACCTGTGCAAAGCGCTGACCTGTAGAGACCGCCTTCCTTGGTCGATCTGCCCACTGACATGACCCACCGTAGGCCTTGGTCATTGCGCCTTCCCCGGAAAATGAACGTTTGACCTTCTCTCTTCTGACATTTGACTTTTGACATTTCACCTCCGTTGACACATGACCTTTCTCGGACAGAAACCTCGGATCCTTTTCGTTCGTTAACTCT